TTATTTTAGCAGAAACACTGGAAACAAGGGGAAACAGCTAGTCCGACTCCGCCTACCAGCACCTATCAAGCTCACAAATTAACACATTACATCTTCTTTATCTGTTTGTACTAAGCTAAGTTAAAAGACTGTTGGCTGTAGCTTCATCTTGAACGGACAGATTGAAAGTGGTATTGATCTTCTTTTGAAATCTCTGCCCGAAACCAAAAAAGCCATTTCCCCAAACCTCAATGAGAAAAGATAATATGAACTATACTGGACAAGATTATCATTTTGTAGCACTAAAAACTTGTTTCCTGTTATAACAACGGGACCCAGACATTAACCTGAATATTATCAAACACACCATTAAGCTCTGATTTTAGGTTTAGGTTTCTTATCCCCTCTGGACGTTGTCACGGTGCCTTCAGGTGCCGTATGAAACATTTTCCTCTCAGTTTCACGGGGCTGCTTCTGCACCATCATTCCTCCATTTCATGATGAAGCAGGTTGCAGAAAGACTCGCTGTGTCTGTCTCTGTTCTGCTGCTTCATTTCTTACATCACCAAGGTTAATTTATTCAGCAGGCTGCATGGCTTATCGATCAGCAGCATTGTTTTCTGTGTGAGCTGGCAGTTTGTGTTTGTCGTGGGACGGGTGTTTGTTTTGAGGCGTTTATTGAACGTATTTGTGACATTTACATCATCTCTCAACACAGCAGCAGTCCGTACTTCACTTGTCATGTATGTGTCTGTGTATCTGATTTGGTTTTATTTACTTATCTTCTATTTTATTATCAGTTGTTGACTTCCTGTCTCCACCCGGGATGGATCAGATAATCAACAAGCAGCTCCAATTCTTCAGCCGCCCTTCATTCACCAGAGAGAGGTAAGAGAGAGGGACGGAAATGTCCTCTGATGGCCACGCTGTACAAAAACCTAAACAAACCCACAACCTTAATTCTCCAAAAGCAAATACTGAGGTATTTTCATTACACTGAGTATTTTTCCAAGTTATGCTATTTTATCTACTCCACTAAATCTGACAGGGAAATTAATAAATTTACCTTACAGCTTTAGTTTCTAGTTATTTTTATTATATTAACATTTTAAATAAACAAAACAAATGGCTTGTTAAAGGATCTGTGGACCAACCTTTATGGCTTGTGACCACTTAAAAAGAACTTGCACTGTTTTAAATGCCTGTAAGTTGTTTGCAGTTCTAACCTGTACATTTTCCCTTAAACCTCAGATGCTTTCATTTTAATAACAGTTTGAGGCACAAAGAGGTTAAACGCTCCAATTTTCCTTTAAAAAAACCCCAAAGATTTGAGAAAATTATAATAGAAATATCATCTTGCAGAACGTTAGCTGTGGTCAGAGGCATGCTGTTTTCATTATTGCGATATCTCAGGAACGCTTAAGGGAATTTATTCAAATTTCATTCAAATTTCACACAAATGGCTAACAGGATAAAATAATGACATTTTAAATCCAAAAGGTCAAAGGTCAACTTCGCTGTCACATCATAATGTGAGTTTCACCTGCAGCTGATAGAGATGCTTTGCTTCTAAAATGCCAGAAGAAAAGAAAGCACCCAGTGTTGTGTAGTATTATAATATAATACTGCCATCTGCTGGTTCGCTAGTGAATCACATTAAGCGTGTTGCAAAGAATCTTGGCGTCTGGTTCAACAGTAGTTTAAGTCTGAGCAGAACACCACAAAGTTCTTCAATATGTTTTTACCAGCTTAGAAATATATCAAAAATACGATGAATGTTAACTTGTAAGGACACTGAGACCATTTTACACGCCTTCATCTCATCATATGGATTATTGCAACAGCCTTTTCACCTGTTTAACCCAAAAATCTATTGATCGACTCCAGACTGTCCAGAACTCAGCTGCCAGGCTTTTAACCAGAACAAAGAAATATGACCACATTACTCCTATTTTAGCTTCATTACACTGGCTCCCAGTGTGTTTTAGAATTGACTTTAAAATTCTATTGATCACTTTTAAAGCTCTTCATGGCCTCTCGCCTTGTTATATTTCTGTTTTTAGTCCCATTCATTCATTCTTGATACCAGCTGAAGTGTCTAACAAACCAATCAATGTCAAGTACAGGGAGACGCAGCCCACGGAGATGCTGACAACAGGACGCAAGTCTGTCATGTGAAGTCCTTTAGTGCAGTCGCAGAATTGCAGTGTGAAACCAAACAAAAACTAACTGAATGTATCAAAACATGAACTTTGGTTCGGACCTTTGTGCGGACTTTCAGGTGTGAAAGCTCCTAGTCTCTCAAGTGTTTTCTTGCTTTTATCATGTGTTTTATGGTCTTTTCACTTTTTTTGAAAAGTGCTCTTTAAATAAACATTATTATTATTATTAACTACTAAAAGCTTTTGATTTCTAACTGGTAAAATGTATCTCGTTTGGTTAGATATGAGGCTTCACATTAGAAGGAAGAGAGTATCTCTTCATTTGTGTGAATATTTCTAGTTTCTAACTATCTTTGGTCTGTGTCATCGTCATGGTGTGTATTTGTGTTTGTGTTTGTTTAATCTGTCTCTGTGTGTGTGTGTGTGTGTGTTTTGATTCGGACCCGTCAGTGTCTTTTGTGTCCCATCGAACAGCTTCCTCCAAACAACACAGACCAAACAGAAGTTCCTCCAACCGCAGGAGTGTCGCTGGACTCCCTGAAGCCAAAACGCCCACGGTCAGCCCTCACGCACACTAACACAGAAATGTTTGTATTACTATCTTTGTGGGGACATCTCATTGACGTAATGCTTCCCCTAGACCCTTATCCTAACCTTAACCATCACAACTACATGCCAAACCTTAACCTTATTCTAACCTGAACCCTAAAAGCGAGTCTTAACCCTCAAACAGCCCCTTAAACCTGTGGGTACAGCAGTTTTGAACCCCACAAAGCTGGTCGGTCCCCACAAGTACAAACACTGCACACATGAACACATAACAAGACACAACACACACACCACACATAGAACTAGACATTTGCAACCTCATTAACGGTGAGCTGTTCAAGATAGAAAGGGCGCATTACATTTAAAGTGTCATGGGACATTTGTTGTTTGCCATCTTAGAAATATGTAGATATGCACACACCTACACACACACAAACACACACACCTACACACAAACACACACACACCTACACACACACACACAGATTCAAAGGTCCTGCTGTGTGTAAATTAATTTAAATATCTCTTGTAAACACGTGGGATTGTGAGGCTGAGTGACTGGTTGCCTCTCTTTTCTGCTACTTACTACTGCTGTTGTTACTGTCGTTTCTTCAGAATAAGACCGCGTTTCCCATAAACCTCGTTGGTTCGTTTTAGATATTATTCTTGTGGTTCAATGTAGAGGATGAACATATTGAATTTTTGTTCCACTGGCTTTTTATTCAAATCACAATCAAATCCTCAGCACTGTTCCCTCATCATGTTTTGCGTCGTAAAGCAATCCAACAGTTTTCTGTCCAGACTTGACTCAGTGGCTTTTAATGTGAAATGCAAAGTGAAAGGCCGACATCTACTCTCAGGAGGGCTTTTTCATTACACCAGCAGAATTAAGATGGGAAAACCAAGGAATGCATGACAGTCAGGAATAATTTATGTTATTGTTGCAGCAGAATATAATTTAGTAATGTTTTCCATTTATGTTTAGCTGAATGCTTTGATGTTATGTGTGTTTAAAAGCAGATTGGATTTAAAGAATAAAAACACAACAATTGCAGCATCAACATTTGTTATATTTGAGGGACTAAACAGCAATTTTTTTGCATTTTCTCTCCATTTTCCAAAAGGAAACATAATACACAATTAAAAATCTGGGTATTTTTCAGTGAAAATCTTTAACAAAACAATGAGCGTCATAGGTAGATAGATTTTATTGTCACAATACAACAAGTTGTAGTGTGAAATTGAGTTTTGTAACTCCTTTCTGCTACATAGCCTGCACTTATCACAGCCATTGTAGCACAAAGCCTGACTAACATTTCTTATGTATTTGCTCAACAAGTATTCAGGAAATAAGTCATGAACCACGACGCAAATGTGATCCCAAAAGTCACCACGACAGATGAAAAGGATCAGGGAAAATGCTCGAGGTCATGATTTGCTTATGATACATGTGACTTCCAGGGGGAGTTTCCAAACACACCGGCCCGCAGTTCATCCTTCAGGGCCAACAGCAAGGGCCCTGCCACACCAAAACGGTACGCACACACACACACACACACACACACACACACACACACACACACACACACACACACCTCACCTGGATTATAGTCCAGGGGAACTGACGTGGTCGTGCTGGTTTTCAGGGTGAGGTCTAACAGGAGTCGCGCCCAGTCGCCCTGTTCACCTGGCCAGTACCCGCCCTCCCCGCTCCGGCAGAGGGCCGCCACCACCCGGCACTGACGACAGGGGTCACAATGAGGTCAAAGGTCACAGCACCATGGAGAAGAAATTAAACAAATCTGAGAACTCGGAGAAAAAGATCCCGAAATCCACCAGCAAAGAGCTGAACGCAGGTAAAAGCACAGTGTGTGCGATGTTGCCTGTTTTTTAGTGTTGTTTTAGGTCGTTGTGTAATGAGCCCCAGTGGTTGTATTAATGCATTTTGGATGTGAAATTAACTGTTGTGCCGTCAGTAGAGAGAAGTGTGAAGAGTTTTAAAAAAGGAGACTCATTATTGAGAAATAGAATTACCAACTGTAAAAAACTCTAAGGAAGTCGTTTTTGTTGCACATGAATTCAGCTTTCTGGAAGACACAGAACCTTTAATAGCAAGAAACAGTAAACACATGGCTTACTGCATGTAAACAAATTTAACGCTTTGAAATAAATAAATAAATGTTTCCATAGCAAAAGGGACATTTTGAGGACAGAATCAGAGAAGGAAAGAAAAGCTCTGTGCCAGAGAGATTTTACTTGAACAATAGAGTTTTAATATACTCCTTTGTCTTTGGGAGGGGGGCTTAAGAATGAGAGAATATTTGTTGTCTATGTTCATACTAAATAAAAAACCTCTGTCCACACTAAACTGTTCCTCTCACCTGGTAACAGAAAGGTGGATGAAAACAAGGGACTGTTTTTTTGTGTGGACAGAGTTTTACGAAAACACTTCTGTATTACCGACAAACCTATTTTACACTCGTCATCTGTCGCACTGCACCTCCTCCCCGCTCCATCATCTTTGTCTCTCTGCGCACACACAGAGTCTCCGGGCACGCCCACAGGTAGGAGCGTTGGTGGGACGACTGACGCCGAGGAGGCGTCCAGACTGCTGGCAGAGAGACGACGTCTGGCCCGAATTCAGAAGGAGCAGGAGGAGAAACAACGGCAGGAAGAGGAGAGGTGTGTGTGCGCTGGTTTCACAGTTAATTTGTTCTGCATCTGATTTGATAATTGATTTTAAGTAATTTTCAAGAACATTTCAATCCAGCTTCCTGATTCTGAGGATTTGATGCTTAGTTCACTCAATATCATGGGATTTTGGACACTGTGATTTATTTTCACAATAATCTCGTATTTCATAGAACAAACAATTGGTCAGTTAATTGAGAACACAATTGGCAGATTAATCGATAATGAAAATGTTTGTTGCAATCCATATTTAGATGCGTGTTTTGAGCGTCAAACACTAAATTTCCTGCATTCTGGTGAATTATTTAACAAATATATGGTATAAATGTCTTTTTTTATGTGATCATAAACATGTTCTAAATATATGTTTCCCTGTGTTCCTCACAACATCTACGCCTATGGTAGCACATGATAACAATAATACAAAGTCCAACTGGAACTTTCTTTAATTAATTCTGGGATACATTATAGTGTTAACACAACAGATCTGTCATCTATCTACAGTTTTTAAACTTATGATATCCATGATGGACGATGACCAACATACTCTCCCATTATTTAACAATCCGTTATGTCCCAAATGTTATCTGTTGCTCACTGCATCTTCAGTCCAGTTCTAACAGGCTAATAGACATCATTATGACATTATGACCTGCCGAGGGACTGCAGATGTGACTTAGCTTGAAGCTTTAATCTGGTACAGTGCATCAAATGGAAACGTTCATGTTTTACTGCACGCTGTCCCTTTTAAAGAAAGAAATAAAATTAAATAAAACACTCCAACTCCTTTCTAAAAGCTGTTTTATGTGGCCTGTGCAGCTAAAACGTTGTGTTTTCCCTCAGACTGAGGGCTGAGGAGGAGCAGAGGAGGCAGCAAGAGGCGAAAGAGAGACAAGAGAGAGCTGCACTGCAGGCCGAGGAGGAGAAAGTGAGGTGGGAGGAGGAGAGGAGGAACAGGGAGGACGAGGAGAGACGGCAGAAGGAGCAGAGATGGAAGGACATGCAGGACCAGCTGGACAGAGAGGTAATAATAATAATTTTCCATGTGAGCTAGCTTGTGTTTGCAGCTATCTGAATGTGATGAGGTGGTTTTAATATCAAGTTTGGTCTGAGGACAGATGCAGTGCTGTCTTTGATTTAAGGTGGAATGTGTATCATTTTAACATCAATAGAGTGTTTCCACATTGACGCTGAAAAACTACAAACTACAACTCTACTTTAACAGAAACTATGAAATATAGAAAGAGAATTTGAATGACTGGATGTTACTGGGTGTTTTTTAGAGGGAGGAGGCCTTCCTGCGAGCCCAGAGAGAGGCCGAGAGGAAGAGACAGGAACGAGAGCTGCTGCACATCCAGGAGGAGCAGGAGAGACTGCAGAGGAAGAAGGTATCAGAGAGCTACACGTGAAATATAGATGTCACGTTAAAACACCTCTCTCAAAAGGCATTATTGAATATGAAGATGAAAAGGACAATCATAAAACACTTATACAATTCAAAATAAAGTACAAACCATATTAAAAACAGTGTTTTTGACCAGTGGTGACTTTGTTTTCACAGAGAATTGAGGAGATTATGAAAAGAACTAGGAAGAGTGAAGTGGAGCCTCTGTCTGGTGCTGCAGGTGAACGTTGAATACACCTTTCTCCTTTAACACCCCCCTCCCGGACAACAATTAGACTTTTGTTGTTTCACTTAGATGTGCTGGAATCTTTGATCTTGTTTTTCCAGCGTAATTGTTTTTATATAAAAAGAGATCAGTCTCAGCTGCAGTGTGACTCAGCAGTGTTAGGCAGCAGGGAAACAGGGCCCCCTGGTGGTTAAAAGGCAGTACGGTAGACTAAGTGTGCTGCAGCATTTGATGAACTCACTCACCCAAAGTGGCTTACGTTACTAAAATTTAATCAGAAATAACACTAATTCTTTAAATTACAAACAGAGTTACAAATACATCATTGTAAATGTTTTGCACAAACTGTAATTTAAATAATATTTTACGTTTCTTTTATGTTTTTAAATATCTTTTGCATCTTATAGTCAATTGTTTATTGTTATGCATAAACATACTACAAATTTCTTAAACTTACTTTAATAAAGCTAATTCTGATTAAATAGAAAGAAATTTTTCATAGAACTGAACTGAACTGAAACACCACAGTTACTGCACATAATCTGAGAATATAGTTCAGATTATAGTCCTCATGACAGGCTGTATGTTTCCACACAATTATTTATAAAATGATAAAATAATTTTAAGATCCTATTTCATAAGAGCTCAACGTGTCAGACTTAAAGTATCCATTTTTAATGAAAGTATAACATAAAGCAAGTCAACCTACAGTAGGTCAGGTCCAGTACTGAATATTATCACAGATGAGCTCTGTGATAATATTCAACAATGGATTTCCCAGAAAAATAACTTTTTAATGACACTGCGTGTTTGCAGTGTCTGACATGCGGGCAGAGGCTGCAGTCCCCTTGGAGGAGGACGCCCCAACTCCGGCTGAAGCCCCCGTCATCACTCTTGGACCCCTGGAGAATAAGAGCTGTGTGGACGAGCTCTCTGACGGAGTCCAGTCCATGGACGTCAGGTAAGACTTCTCTAAGATGTTTTCAGCTGCCTCTGGCTTTCTTGCAGAACTTGCAGAACTTCATGCTCAAGTTTTAAATCTAGAATCAGTTTAAGCATTGACTCTGCTGTCGGATGTTTTTAGTAGTAAAACAAAAAGAATCTCAGCTGTTTTGTTGGTTTTTCTTATACTTCTTGCACATTTTACACATTTCAGTTCGCGTGTTTGCCAAGTTTTGTCTGCACTGAGGCGACTCCACACATACCAATCAGCCTTTTTGGCCTCTGTGTTCCAGTCTTGCATCTCATTGTCTCATTGCTGCTCATCCAAACAGCGTTTGCTGACACAAGCATGGAGACTGTGTTCATTCAGATCTCATTGTGTTGCATCTCCTTTCATAACTAAACCAAAATATCTGCATTATTATTGTTGTGTATTGATTTAATCCTGAAGCTGTACTTTGGAATGTGAAAAATCAATTAAATATTCTGTCTCTGTCATCATTGTGTCTTTAAGTTCTCCATCTGTCTCCATCAGTCCAGTGTCTAGGGAGGAGCAGGCGAGCGCTCAGGAGTTTTCACCGGTCACAGAAGGGACAGACGGCTGTCCCTTGGAGCACCTGATGGACCTCGACAGCCACGGGCGAGGACAGCGTCAGGGTGCAGAAACGCCCCCCTACCCCAAGCTGCAGGCCGGCAGCGGGGTCGGAGACCTTAACAAGAACCTGCTGATTCAGGCGTACAGCGCGGCCTCTGAATCCTCCCAGCTCATCCACAGCGTCGGCCCGAGCAAACTGGACGTCAAGTAGCCAGGTAGAGACACTCCACCTCACGTACCCATCAAAATCAGTTTACTCGTTCAGGCAGAATATTGTGGATAAAGTGAAAATACACTGGTGCACTGGAGAGGAAACAGCAAGACAATCCCCCAAAAGGGAATGGTTTAGCAGGTGGTGTCCACAGACAGTTGCTCTCTCTCCAGGGTGGCACATCCATAGGTTTGCTGTGTCTCTCAGCACAGTCTCAAGAGCATGGAGGAGACACCAGGAGACAGGTCGTTACACAAGGAGAGCTAGACAGGGCTGTAGAAGGGCATCAACCGGAGAGGCATATCTTTGGAGGGCTGCACAGACCTCCACGTGCTACCAACGGTACCCAGACTGCTGTTAGCTACCAGAATGAAATCCTCAGAGCCATTGTCAGACCTTATGCTGGGGCTGTGGGCCCTGGGTTTCTCCTCGTAGGCAGTTCCTGGATGACGAAGGCATTGATGCCATTGACTGGCCCTCACCTTCCCCAGACCTGAATCCAATAGAGAACTTCTGGGACATTATGTATCGGTGCAGCCGATGCCTGCCAAGTTGCGCCGCAGACTGTCCAGGAGCTCACTGATTCCCTGATCCAGGTCTAGGAGGAGATCCCGAAAGACACCATCCACTGTCTCATCAGGAGCATGCCAAGAAGTTGTCGGGAGTGCATAAGGGCGCATAGGGGCCGAACACACGACTGAGTCACAAATATGAGTTGGATGAAAGTCATGTTGATTCAGTGTTTTACTTTGATTTTCGGTGTGATTTTGAATCCAGCTCTCAGTCCGTTGGTGATTTTGGTTTCCATTGACCGTTGTTGCGTCACATTGTTCTCAACGAATTATACAAAATACAGTAAAGATTTTGAACTTTAAACTATTTAGTTTATCAGGATCTGATGTGTGATTAAGTGTTCCCTTAATTTATTTGATATCTGATGGCATGTGACGGCCATGAACAATTTTTTGACAATTTTTACTTAATTATCTTGTTGAGCTTTTGCACAGCCACAGTCACTCTGCTGTACAGGACATAGATACACTTATGTCATAAAAGTAACAGTTTTTCGTGTTGTCTATCTCTCTTTTAGGAACTTTTGCAGGAGCTGGCAGGTTCGGTAGGAACAGGAGCCCGGAGAAACAGACCAAGAGACCATGACCTCCGTCTGCAACAACACCAATCATAATTTCCACGAGGAACAAATACTGAACAACTCATCTCACATCTGTATTACCAAAACACACAAACTCGTAACAGTAAAGCTTCTGGCCACACTTTGAGGCAGTGCAGATGGGCAATTTTGACTCTAAGAAACACGACTCGCAAATAATCTGAAGTGGATTTATGACATGGTTATGTGACAGAAGGAAGTGGGATCAGCATTCTTGCATGTTTGAAATATAAAAAAGATTCGGAAAGTAAAACGACTGTAAACTCATGGTTTGGTTTATTTATCTGAAACTAAGGCTTGCTGAAAACTTTGTTCACGTTATAAAACTTACTGTATAGGCACGAGTTGCAGGTGGAACTAGTTCAGGGTCAATGTCAACCCAAATCCGCACACACCGACCGGCCTTTTCATTTACACATTACATATTTTTAGCATTCAAGACATCTCCAAAAATTCCCAGACATATACTGCATCTTTTTATGTCCCTTTTTTCTTAACAAATCTCTGAAATCCGTACATCTTCTCTACACCTGTTCCTGTTAAAGCCAGTGTTGCCCAGCTGCGCTGCCACAAAATATCACTCGAGTATCACCCGCTTTAATCTCTCATCCCTGCTTTTGTAAAACTCTGTAAATAGATCTGACTGGGTGGAGGAGTCTGTCATCGTAGGGGTCAGGGAGCGGCTCTGTAGCAGTTCACCTGCCGTAAAACAGACACTGTTGTGAATCCTGTGTAGCATCTTCAGTGAGGAATAGCTAGTTGAGCTGTGTATGGTTGTAGCTGTGTACTTTAACAGTGTGTGAGAGTTTCTCTCTTTCTGTCAGTGTTTCTGATGGTTCCCGTCTGTTTATCTCACCTCTGACCTGCTCTACTGCTGACAGCGACTCCTACTTCTATAAATCCTAGTCTGCTGTAGATTCCCCTGACGCTGGAGAAAACCATCAACAACTGATACTATAACTCTGCTGTTGACCCATAACACACAGCGTCTAGCTTTGGTTTTTCTGCTGCTCGTCACTTGATTGGTGGACGTTTTGTGGAGGCGCAACAATCCGCAGCGAGGCCATGAAGAAAACCTGGGGAGGAAATAAATATGTCAAATGTCCTGTATTTTTATCTGCAAGTCAGGAAAATATTGACACAGTGTGTGTATTGTATTTGTCTGGCACTGACTGTAACCACGCTAGCTGCAGTTTATAATGTGCACTCACAGTAGTTGTGTGTTTCACTGCTCTGAAGACGCTTGTATCTCCACCTCCGCTCATCCCCCCAACTAAAATATACCTCACCAATTCAGAACAGACTCTGGTGTTAAACAGCGCTCACCACCTCACAGCTCATCACCTCTGAGGCCTTAAACCTCTGTGCAGTCAACATCTTCCCCTTAAAACAACCGGTCCTCTGTGCTTTGCCCTCAGGCTGTGTTTCATCCAGCATGCGCACTTTAACTGTTCAAAGGCCCTTTTTCCTCTAAAGAAATCCTGGAAGTAGAGAAACAAGGACTACATATTTCTTGAGCTGCACCAGATTAGACCGATCAGACAGAAGTGATGGAAAAATGGCAATTATGTAAATGCAAGATTGATTTGTCAGCAGGGCAAAGTATACAACTAACCCAGTGGCCAGTGTATTTATTTCATTATATTAATTTATAGATTTGATCTCCGTCATCATGTCTGGTGCCAGGTATGTCATTCGGGTTAAGAATACCAAATTCCTTAAATTTTTTGACCAGCCATCAACCAAACTCTGTAGAAATTTAAGTAAAATCACATTATATTCTATCTATTGAAATATTCTTCAGTACAGTATCTCCTTTCAATGTTTTTTCAGTGTCATTTGTGTTTTTTGCCTAAAAATTGTCACATGTGCAACAAAACCCAAATATTTCAGATTATACAAGGAACATCACAGTCTGTTATATCATTTCAACCATTCAGTTATATCTTTTCTCAGTTTTATCTCCCTACATTATGTTCTGGTGCCAAGTATGTCATTCAGGTAAAAAATTTAAATTCACTTTATGTCAATTCTTCTGAAACTGTCTAAAAATATCTGAATCAGCCTTAAGAAATACAGCGTGTATTATGTTTGTAATCGTAGAATGTAACTCGTCTTTATGCCATTTATCAACCTTCCAAATGTCCAGATATAATACTGAGGACCTGACCTCAGCGTCCTCAACACCTCCTTTATTTACGTGTATATTGAGCTCAGTTGATGCATATTCCTATATGAATCTGTTTAACTTGTGTACGACAGCAAATTTAGATTCAGGTGCAAAGAGAAAAACCTTCTTACTGGGGAAAAGCGCCTCTACTGCTCCTCCAAGGTGCCACTGTTAGGGGGAAAAGTGTTTAACCGTTGCTGCTG